GATTTTCATCTCCAAATGACCTTAGGAATCTGCCATTAACGGATGTTACGGTAAGTCTGGAATATCCTGTATACATATATATATAATTATATATAAATAAATTATTAAATATAATTATATATTAAAATATTTATATTTATATAGTATTTATTATATAAATATCATATATGTGAATTATAGCGATCAAAGTGATAGTGCATCTTGTTACAAAAATACAATGGAACAATATCAAATTCTGTTTTAAACGGTAAAAACACAACTCAAACATATAAAATGTTGAAACAAGTTGACAAAAATGATTGTCTCGTACACGAGTTTTTGAATGGCTTGCAAAATTTAGAAACAATAGCGAAAATTTGAAAGACAAATAGCCGAAGCATCCGAAAACGATTTCGATGAAAGATCTCGTGAAAAGAATCCATCAAATATTGGCAGTTGGTTCAAACATTGGCACGCGAATGGTGACAAAAATTTAATGTGTTAAAATTTACGATTCACATTCAGCGCAATGATTTGAACAAATAAAGATTTGTGCCGCATTCGCTAACAGGATATATTGTGGCTTTTGTGAGTTTTGGTCAAAACACAAATAAAGGTGGTCGACCATCCACCGTATTCATTTAATTTAGTTCCCTGTGACTCACTTTTATTTCCAAAATTCGAAATTCTGATGAAAGGAACTTACTAGGTACGATAATATTCATTCAAACAGTGATAAGAATTGTCAAAGTGATTCCGAAAGATAATTTCCAGAAGTCTACATATTCATACATCAGCCGTGCCCAACACTGTATCGGTGCCAACATACAAACTTGGAGTAAAATGATCGATTTTCAGGCAAATTATCAATATTTAAATTGATACAGTATAAGTCTATTATTTTTCAGACATATTATATATGTTGTGGCATACTTTATCATTCTTCTTGTCGGGTGAGATTGAACGGTTCGCTTATTATTTATGTTCTATATAAGACGACTATTACGCAACGACTGACTATCACCTCTTGATCTTGATTGGACATTTGCTCTCAATTACGCTCAAATTGAAAATAAAACAATTTTCTATAATATAACTATAGAATCGTCAGCTGATTCCTACAATGTATATGTCAAATCATTCTATGTACAAGCAATGGTGGCAAACGTGACTCGAAAACTTTATATTTATTATGAGTAAAACGGAGAAAAGTATACAAGACTTTGAGCACACAGATTTTTAAATGAATTATATATTTTAAGATTATTCACAGAGAGGGGATAAGTGCCCGTAAAGATTGGAATCAAATTTATATAATGAGTTAATAGAGTCGAGTGGGTGAAAAAAGTTTATATAAACCTATGTTTTAAATTTTGTTATAAGCATAAAAGTTAAGTTATAAACATTAAAGTTATAATCGTTCAAAGATTTACGAGCAGAATTATTCAGACTACTCATCGATTCTTCTGTTGAGATATGTTGTAGGGGAAGTTTTTCTGAGTAAATTCCCGCAAGAATATGGGAGATGACATTGACTGTAGAGATATAAAAAAATTATATAATTTTAAACAAATTAAATCATATACACACATATACACAGGGTGTCTCATTTTAATTGCTTACAGCAATACTAATAACGCTATTTATCGGAGATGAACGGAATTAGTTAGAGAGAACGTTCGTTTATGTGATGTGCTATTTTCAACTAGTTTGGATGGTGCGTTTGAATTTGACAATTGTTTTACTGAGGTTAGTTTTTTCGTCGTGTCGAAGTTTTTGAAATAAGTAGCAATTAAATTTTGTGTAAAATTGAAGAATACAGCCACTGAAACGTTTGAAATATTGAAAAGAGCGGACAGTGAAGAATATTTATCGACACTCAAAAAAATGATCTTGCAATAATAGCTAAAATTTTCTAGGTGTAAAAAATTAACTAAAACAGACAAATGATTAGCAACTGTTGTGATATTGCATATGTAATTACTTAATCAGTTTAGATGACAGAAACAGAATATATATCTGTATTGTTTGTGAACTTTAAAAAGAAAGTTTCTCTAAAGCATCTATCTATATAAGATCAATCACGTGTTAGATCATGCAATGAATAATATTTAGCAATGGTACCTAAATTTTTCAGAAGCTATTGCTAGAACATTACTGCTATAAATTCTATATGTGACAAACAATGTTTTCACAGATACGAAAAATAGCGATACATTCTTGTTGCGATCTAGAATATCTAGAAATCTAACTACATCAGCGAAATATTTTTTTGAGTGGAGAGTATCAAGTATGTTTAAATAAAAAATTCAAAGAAGGCAAAGTGAAAAAGCAAAAATCGTGAGTGAACACAAGATTGATTGCTAAAGATATCATTCATCATGAATTTGTGCCGAAAAAACAAACTGTGATCGATAAATTTGATAAAGAGGTGATCAAGAGATTGATCGCTTGAGTTCATCGCGTTAGGCCTGAGTTTAAGAAAAGACCTGGTTTCTTTTAGGCACGACAACGCACCGGCGCATTCTTCGATCATTGTCACCGAGTTTTTGACAAAACAAGGGATCCCCGTGTTAGCTCATCCACCTTACTCGCCTAATTTAGTGCTGGTTGATTTTTTTTTTTATTTCCTAAATTAAAAATGCAATGAAAGAAACAAGATTTCAGGATGTGTCATCAATCCAACAGTGACGAAAGAACTGAAGACGATTCAAAAAGAAGCGTTCTCGGGTATTCGATTCGTGGTACGAGCGATGTAAACGTTCGGAAGCGGGCAGGGACTATATTGAATGATGGTATTAAAAAATATTTAGTATCTTTTTTGTGTGTTCTTTTATGGCCTCAATCCGGGAACTTAATTGTCACATCATGTATATAAAATGTTTTAAGCTTCTAACACATATGTTAAACACATATTTTAAAATAATTGCATTTTTTTATGTATATTATCAAAATATAATTTTCACATTAAAAATTAGATGTTTATTTGAACAAATTTCTCCAATCAATTTCTAATCGATATATTATTGGATGATAAAGTACTCTAAGTACTATCTTAATTTGTTCGTTTTAATTCATTTAATTGCTCACTTTCGATCTAGATTACAGTTAAATTTGTTTTCATGTTACGTCTGGCAAACCGTATGCAAGTGATGCAAGAGTGCGTTGTTTCAATCTTTCTGCAATGTGAAACACGTTATCGCACAGTGTTTCAGTGCGCCAGCATTCGGTGAAATGTTCTGCATTTGTTTACACACGGTTCACTTTGCTTACGTTATTACGCATCCACGGTAATTCACCGTGACAAGTTCGGTGGTATGCACGTTTAAACAATGCATTTTTATTCAACGCATTCAGCGGCACGTTCCGCGAGCTTTCTTCACGTCAGATCGGTAGAATGACGAACTTTTTTTACGCGATATGCCGTCATCGTGTGTGTTTACGTATAATCCAATTTTCGATTGCGCGAATTTAACACATAGACCAGCCGCGAACGATTATAGAGTAGATTATAGAGCAGATTATAGATTATGAATAGTCAAGTAAAGTGCAGAACGATAATTATACTCGATCGCGAGAAATTCAATGTAAATTATCATCTCGTAGACGAAAGTAGACCTTGATAAAAAGATGGTCGTAGTATATTACCTTTCCCTTACTTTCGAATTATTGACTGTTAAATTCAAAAATGTCGATATGCTTATATAATCGTATCTTTTTATATGCGGAATGAAATTTTCATAACTATCTGTTCAAAAATTTCTATTTTTCTTGAATTTGATTAAGTCTGAACTTATCCACAAATCGAATCGATTTATAAATCGTTAGATTTGTGGATCACAGATTCTCGTCATACCTTTCTCGCACATTTCTTATTTCTTTCTTTTTCTCTCTCTTTCTCTTGATTCTGGCAAACAAACTGCCGAAACAACCGGCCGAATTATGGTCGGATGCCAATGAGAAGTATATGAGCAACCGAGCGAGTATGCCAAAAAGGTAACAACTTGCCAATCTCGAATTTTTTTCTCCTTGGAAACTCGCGATCGTTCGTTCTTACGTCATGATCTCTTCGTACTCCACGCGCAAGCGGATCTCGTTCGAAAGCGCGCAACTGTGTACGCGCATGCAAGTGAGCGTTTATTTCCGCGGAACAGTGAATAACCTCGTCGGCAGTTTGTTCTCACGTAAGTAGTGTTCGTACGCGCTCGTACACAACGAGCAATCGGACTGCTATCCTTCCTTCTCTTTAACCCCTTCTTCTTTTCCATTCGCGCACTCCCCGTTCTGCGTTTTCTCCTGCAATTTTAAGAAAGTCATACGGCTTCTTCGACTGGAATCCTCCTCCTCCTCCTCCCCTTCTCTTCCCCCTCCGCCTCCCCTCATATAAGCGCACTTCGCTGACGCGATTTTGATTCCACCATCGCACGGTTTCGATAAATAATGAGAGCCGCGTGTAACCCTCTCTTTCTCGATGGCTCTGTCTCCCTCCCGCCTATCTGTTCTTCGTCTTCTCCGCGAACATGTCTTCAGGAACGTGATCGGAGCTGTTCGTTAGCGAGAAAATTTTCGGAATTACGCATCTCTTTCTCTTTATGATTTTCATGGAAAAATTATACGATCACAACGCAAGATCATAATTTATAGTTGTAACACAAAAATAAAATAAAATATTTTTATTTATTTCAGGATGCTGACTATCACTAAAATCTATTTAAAAAATCTATTTTTTGCCTGTTTCTTATGTTAAAAGTTGTTTAATCTTTCAGATCTTGTTTCATTGCTATAAAACAGAAATATTTGCTTAGAAACAGCAACTGTAATAAGAGAATGTTGAATAACGTAATAACCAAGGGAAAAAAATACGTAATAGCAGATTATGCAAACTGTCATATCTACCCTTATCTCTTTTTTTCTGCGTTATACATATATATGCGGGTAACAAAACATATATTGGAGTAACGAAATAGTGCCTACGGAGTGGTGTAACCTATATACGTCACTGTTCCGCGGGCAGCGCATATTAGTTACTTCAAGGACGTTCGTTGTAATTGGGATAGGTCGGACGGTGCAACGAAGAAAGAACATTGTGCAGCGTGGTAACGTGGAAGAGTGGCAACCGCAACGAAAGAGAAAGAGCGAGTGCACGTGTACGAGAAGGAGAGGAAGTGGTCGGTTCCTGAGGATAGAACGGAACGCCAAAACGTGCGCGGAAAAGAGAAAGAAGCAGACATCGAGTGAGCGACGAGGAAGCACGAGTGGACTGACTGATAGGCATGCGCGCACCCGCGAGAGAAAGAAAGATGATTGAACTTGCTTTCGACATAGGAAAGAACTGTAAAGACTAGAGAAAAAGAGCGGCAGACGAGAGATGTGACATGCAGAGCGAGCGACGAGGACGGCGAGTGAAGAGTCACGAGAGCGAGCATGAGCGACAGAAATAGCAAATGCGTGATCCGAGTGAAGGTTCATTCATACCATGCGAGGCGACGCGTCGCGTCAATCGGGTGTCAAATTTTATTTATATATGACTTTTAAACGGAGTGTCATTTTGTATAATATGCATCGCTCTACGTGAAATCCATATAAGACCGTCTTGACGTGACGTTAACGCGACGTGTCATTTCGCATAATATGAATAGACCTTGAAGCATCGCGCGAGCGAGAGGAAAGGCTCGAACGGATGTGGAGTGGTGGGGGAAATGTGAGCGGCCGAGCAGGGAGAGCTCGCGCCGGTGCCGTAAGCATCTGTAAATGGCGTCTGGCCGTGAGCGTCGGTACGTCACGGACTACTCTCGCATTCTCGCAACAGTGTGTGAGCGCGACGGACTCGTCTCACGTATAGTTCACTGATAGATCCGCGGTGATAACAGCGTAAAAACACGTCTAGTTCCATCATTCCACGAACTTGCAGGATTACTGTGCGCCGTAGAACACGCGATCGCGAGTGTGCGTGCATCGCATCTCCGTCACCTCTCTATTCCTGGCCGTTCCTGCTCCCTCTTTTCCCCCCCGCCCCGCCTCTCCATTATCCACCGCCTGGCCCATCGTCCGTTCTTGCCTGCCTCGCGTCCCTCTCTCACCCGCGACAACGACGTGTCCCGCGTTCGTCTGTGTTTCTCCACAAACGGGGGGGGGTGGGGGAGGGTAATCGTATGCCTTGCTTCCTGGTGTGTGCGCGTCAATGCTCAGTGGCGCCCTTCGAAGTCGAATTCGCGTGCAGGCAACATGGAGGAAGGTGCGGTGGTGCTACGATAGTGGTTTCCAAGCGAGAAGAGTGCTACGCGACGACAACAGCGCCACGGTACCCGGAACAACGAGTATATCGGCTCCTATCGTCTCCCACTGCTGCTTCTCTTCTTCCTTCATCTCCTTGTCCGCTGTATCCTCCATCTTCTTCGCCGCCTCTTCCTTTTACGTCTCCTCAATCTCCTTTTTCTTCTCTTTCGTCTCTCCTTTCTTCCTTGGTAACTACGGTGACGGCGACGACGACGACGACGACGACGATAACGACGATAACGACGACGACGACGACGACAACGACAACGACAACAACGACAACAACGACGAAAACTGCGGCAACGGCAGCGGCAGCGGTGACGGCAACGACGAGTCAACACGCCGGTTGCTCCCTCACCTTTGTTCGGACCGGCGATTCCGTCGCTGCGAAGCCTACAGGTAAAGAAAATATGCATCCGAAACTCACGAAATCCCCAGAAATAAGAGAACGCATTTGCATCTTCTTTATCCCCCTTTGTCACAGGACCCGGTGAAGAAAATGTTTACGGGAATGTTTCACAATGAGGCAGGAGTTCAGACTTGAGCTTTATAACCCTCTTGTCATTATGAGACGTAACTTTAAGTTTCTATGAATTATATTTTAATGATTGTCGCGTTAGAATGAAGTTTGGAGAGTCCGCTTCTTCTCTCTTCACAGTTTTCCGGAGTTCTCCCTTTAAATATTTATTTATCTATCTGAAAGAAAATTGTAATATAAAATTGGCGCTTTGTGCGACCAATTATTTTCCTGCTAATTAAACAAATTGTCTCATTTTTTGAAACAAATACATATCTTGAAAAATAAGAAAAAAAAGATAACCTCAATAGATGCAATTGTCTCTTGTAGACGTATTTGTCTTTTTTGTTTTTTGATACGGTTTTAGAAATAGGTCACTGTGTCTCCCTTAGTGATATATAATACGCTCGGTGTTAATAATAACAAATATATATACTCTATGTTATCTTGAAGTCACAGGACTTTGTTTTAGAGAGTTAGAACGGTAAAAAAACAGTCTCACAGAGAAAAAGAATATCTCGACAATAATGTTAGAGATCTGTAAGAGCCAAAAAATTAATTGGATAAAACTCTTACGTTTTCAAAAGTAAATAATAAAAATAATCTTTCAAACTGCAGTTAATTAATTTTGTTAATGGAGTCGATTGTTCCCTCGCGAGAATTATTATTTCTATTTTTACAATTTTCTAATCCTTAACATTGCGTGTTTGTACAATTAACAAGCCTCACATACAAATTCCACAAAAATAAAGTCTACGAATTGAAGAATACAATCTTGTTATTTATTTGCAGTTTTGAAAACTAGTTTACAAAATAAATCTTATTTTCACTCGCGAGAACTATTTAAAACTAGCGCCTGAATAGAGGAAAAGTAAATTCCAATTTGCCTTTAAGAGGTAATGCAATAGTGGTGCGGAACTCTTGTAGAAAAGAATTTCTATATACATCTACAATACACAAGATATTCCATAATTCGCGAATCAAGATATTATAGCATCAAAGTTGTCGAAAAACGAAATAAGAAAGTGTTTTACGATTTTTCAATCCAACCAATAGGTTTTGAAATATAAGGATTTAAAACTGACCAATTAGATTGCATAGTTCAACAGTCGTTTATTCCTCGAGTCGCGCGTGTGATAGTATTTAATGACTCAGGGATAAGCGACCGCTTAACCATAGAGCTTAATTGGTCAGACCCTTATTTATATTTCACTGTTACTTGAATTAAAAAGTCGTAAAGAATTTTTTTATTTCGTTCTTTGAGAACTTTCATACTATAACTCGATTCGCGAATTACCGAGACACCCTGTATAAATTATATAATCGTTTTTTGTATTACTCCTTTGTGACCGATGAAGTGTAAGATGGAGGAACTGAATGAAGGAGAGTGAATTTCCGAATTCTCGGTATTCGGCAATTCATCGGCTCATTGCTCTTCTTGCGAGTTCATCTCTCGGGAATTGCGCGCGGCACGACGAATAACGTCCATGAATCGATACGCCACTTCGGCTAGTTACGTTGGCTCGCGCGCTCTTTAACGTGTATCGATAAGAGGTCCCCAGAGGTGCATTATCGCGTAAATACACGGCGTGATCGCGGCCGGCATGTTTCGAGCTATAGCTTAGCTGCATATTTTGAAACCCGCGTTTTTCTGTCGTCTCATTGCGCGAATAGGAAATTTTTCAATGGAAAAGAGAGAACGAAAACACATTGCATACAGCACACAATAACATTTTTTTTTTCCTTCTCTCATTTTAACATTAATTAGCTTAATATGCGGGACAAAGATAGCTTGATACTACTTTGTGCACCATACAACGCATATCATACGGCGCGCTACACGCGCGCAATTTAGCCTTACAAATATCAAATATAATATAAAAAGAAAAAATACACAACTCATTAAAATAAAATTTCAAATTAATGTTTTACCATATTTTATTCGACGATCTTTACGTTAATAATTGTATCTACGTAATTATCGGCAAATATTAGTAACGAAAGAAATTAATTAATTATTAAATTTATGTAAGAACTTGAAACATTTTTTATAATAATAAGTTTTTCAATATCAGCTGATTAACATTCGTAACCATTTCTTTGTTTAAAATATAATATTTTAATGCATCGTAGTGAAGAAAACGTAAATTTTAACTTGCTGGACCTACCAATTTTTATATAATAAGATTGCAGTGTCTAACGAAATGTACATTTTAATATTTCATGCCATTTCTGAAAGTCTAGGCCTACGAAATGTTATTCTTTTTTAACATGCGAACTGTCAAAATCTTCACAATGATAACCGCTCACGACATGAACTGAACGCAATGAAGGAACCAATCGACATTATGTAAAAGCGACAACAATAAACTTTGATATTATCGAGATAACATGCCTCTTTTGAAAGAGGATTAGAAAATGAGAGAGAATTAAAATCGAAAATAAGAAAAAATTATAATATACATGCAATTTTTATCTTGAGTGTTCGTATGGCTAATTGTCATACGCTGAAGATGGCCTGATGACAGGCCGAAACGTACATTAATTATTAATAAATTTCACAAATATATTTTGGCACTAACATCTAGCTATGGTTCTTAAGCTTTCTAAAATCATTTTCTTGATTTGTTCGAGTATATTCAGGTAGTACGTCATTACTGATATGATTTGCCCGAGTATTTTCGGGCAGTAAGAAAAAAATCTGACATTTTTTTAATTCTGAACGAAATAATCTGACAAGAAAATGATTAATTACAATTGATTGTTTAAATCATCGGAGCCTGATTTAATCTTAAAATGGAAAATACACGAAAATTTGAATATAAAAAAAGAGCTCAAACGTAAAAAAGTCTATGCAGAGAAAGATTATAGATGCGATGATTTTATCTCTGAAAGTTATCTGAAGAGTTGAAGCAAATTTTATTTTGCTCTGTAGTTTATTATTTTAAGTTTCAGAAGAAGTTTATTCAACAAGTTTTTTATTCGTACTACTGCTCTTTTCTTTTTTAATCTTAATTTTGAGTAATTTTGACTTTTTTGGAGATGATTTACTGGAAGTCTTCATACGTTATACTTGGTTGTTATGTAACACGAATAAACATATTGAAATAAAAGCCGAGTCCATTTTGTTTTTAATCTATAATATTTTTAACCTAATCATTATATACAAGATATTGATACCTCACACTTCCGGTTAAGTCTTTTCGAATTAAATGTATTGTATCTTTACATTGGCGCATTATGATTGTTGTTTTAAATATTCAGAGCTGTCCAATTAGTTTGTTAATTAATTTAAAAACTGATGTAGTTTGAATCTAAAGCTGAATCCAAGAAATTCTAAACTAGAAATGTTAAGGTATTAATAACATTTAGTGTACTTACATTACTATATTATCAATAAACACGGTGGTCTGCGTTTGTTTTAATGCGCATTATCACTAAATATAAACAAAACAAACAGAAGGCTATAATATTTAAGTAAAACTTCCTTTCTATTTTACCATTTGACAGATTGCTAGTAAAACGAGTCTTACGAATAGAAGACCTTATAAAATTCCTGCTTTATTCATAATTATAAAACAATGATGAGACTAATATTATGAATTAAACATACATTTAAACGCAATCGAATAGAATATATTTATCGTTTTGACGTCGAATGAATGTTATATTAGCGTCTGGTATGTTCTTTCTAAAATTCACAAGCACAAATTTCATATGGCATATGATTTGCCAATCTTTCTTGTTCTTTGCAAACATAAAGTAGTTGAATCGTATAATTTAATTACAATTAAATTTTATAATAATTTTACAAATAAAAATATTAATATTGTAATAATAAATATATAGAAGTTGAATTGTGGAATATAAATGTACCATTAATGCACTTGAATACATATCAATGTTGAAGAATAGATTTGATCAACAAGCGCGAGTTTTTTGTTTAGAAGACGAAAAAATGATGCTCAGCTAGGTTGCAACACTCGTGTAGCACTGATTGTTTGTAAAGCGTATTTATAAAGAAGTCACAAACTAAAGGAACAACAATCACGATGATTAAAAAAAGCCCTTTAAAATGATTTGTATTTCAACTTTGTAGGTAGTATAAAAGGATTCGATACCTCTCAAATGTTCCTTTATTTTTTGAGTTGTGTGAAGTTAGGCCTTCCGCACAAGCTCTTCCGTAACGCGTTACGTTACGTTAAGTACTGATCATAAACCTAAACCTAAACCTAAACCCGTACATAAACTTGAACTTCAGTCAACGCACAAAGAAAACTTCGTAACGCGTGACGCTTTTGCTACGTTACATTTTTGTTTGTGCGTTGACTGAAATTCAAGTTTATGTACGGGTTTAGGTTTAGGTTCAGGTTTAAGTTTAAGTTTAAGTTTATGATTAGTACTTAATGTAACGTAACGCGTTACGAAGTTTGTGCGGTGGCCCTTAGCCTATCTAATAGAAATTTTTAATTTTTTTTTCAATTCTTACGCGTTAAATCGATAGAAAATCGATTGTTGGTCCCAATTGTGCCTTTTAGGATGATTGTTACTGGATTATTTATTAATTATAACAAAATAATTTTTAATAGCGCACATATTGCACATGCGCGACTCTCAACCGTGAGGTTAGTCACTCTGGAAATAATGGCTGCGCTATTGAAAATTATTATTTTGTTATAATTAATAAATAATTCACCAACAATTATTCTAAAAGGCACAATTGGGACCAACAATCGATTTTCTATCGATTTGACGCGTAAGAATTGAAAACAAATTAAAAATTCCTATTAAGTAGGCTAACCTTATATTGATATTTATTTTGTTAATAACAATTAAATTAACAACTAACAAACGTTAAAATTAGACCAACAATAACTAACAA